TTGAGCAATCAGGGTTGATTTCCTTTAAGATTGACTCACTTTCTCCTGCCTGCCTGCAATTAACACAGTCTGTGGGTACAGCTGGCTGACAGAAATTGCCTTTAGGTTGAGAGCACTCTACTTATATTCCTGGTGTTTGCTGAGTCATTCCCTGCTACAGCATTCTCTTGTTGTTTAAAATTAAGTGTGTGACTCACCTTTTTCCTTGCAGTGGTTGCCAGCAATTGAGCAAACTGCATATTGACTTCCATTGATACCACTCCCAGTTGACAATCTACTGCTGAATTGGGAGGAAGGTATGGCTGACCCTCAAGTAGTAAATTTACATGTATACAAGTCTCAGCAGCTCATTCATGATGCAGATTTAGTTCAGCCCCTTTCTGGAGGTTAAAGCTGATGAACGCATATTCTGAAAAATAATGCTTTAGATTTGACCATTCTTCAACTTTATTCAGCTGAGGATTGTTTTATGCTTACAGACCTCTTTCTCTTCACTTTTTCCCCCAGAAATCCCTGGGAGCAACCGATGGCTTCTTGGAACAAGATGTAGGCACGGGTATCTGTTACTTTTTCTATGACAGTGCTCCAAGTGGTGCTTATGGCACCATGACTTACCTAACAAAAGCGGTAGCTAGTTACCTCCATGAATTTCTTCCAAGCACAGGCTGCCTGATGCAATAAACTATCCAAAATACAAACATCCACTCTCAAAGCTTTTTCCCTGGAACCATAATTTCTCAAGGCCTCAATGGCTAGAAATTCTGGAAGTTGAGTCCCAGTACGTTTAGAGACTGCTCGGGAAGGCTGTCCTATAGCTCCTCACGCTACCTCAACATTACCTGCATCATTTTACCATTGACATAAGGCATTGGCCTAGAAGCAAGACCAAAGGCACAATTTTGTGCAGATCTCCTGCAGAGCATTGTCTGGATCACCTTGGACTCAGGTACCTGCAATTAATCACTGTCTTATTGGTGCAGGGAAAAAAAGGCTAAATTTAATTTCAAGGGAGGGAAGTAGCTTTCTAGCACACACGCACACACACAAACCTGCTGCAGGTTCTGAGTTTTGCATTGTTGGTTTAATTTAAGCATGGCAATATTAGATTTGAACTATGATCAGCACTTCATTTCTCATAATAAAATGAGTCCTATTCTTCTGCATTTATGCAGAGGAGGAGCACTGTTAAAGCTAGTATGAACCTAAGCTGAAATTAATGGGCAATATTTCCTGGAGAGGAGTGCTTGTATCAGAGAAACAGAGAAGGAAATGAGCATCAACAGTTTATTTGAGAGTACTGAAGAATGAAATCTAAAAGGTAATAATGCAGTGAAAAAAGAAGCATTTCTAGCCACCAAACCCATGGGTAGAACATCTGCCCCTATATGATAATTGGCTGAACAGCTAGATATGATGCTTTAAGACATATCTGTTATTAATGTTTTACTGGGAGACCATGAGTTAGGCACAAACCCAATTGGGTGACCTTGGGCCTGTCACTCTCTCTCAGCCCTAGGAGGCAACCGCAAACTACTTCTGAAAATCTTGCCAAGAAAACTGCAGGGACTAGTCCAGGCAGTCACCAGGAGTCAACAATGAATCAAAGGCACCAAAAAAAAAAAAAAAAAGTGAAGCTTTCTGGGAATATTTGGCACATTCTACTGATTGGTTGCACATTTGTTGTGAACTGCTTAGACGACTAGTAATTGAAGTTCTACATTTTCAATTTTTCGTATGGAGGGAGATCTTGAAGATGGTTTAAATTGTTCCTCAGATGGGTTTCCACATAACTGTAAGAGGATTTCAGACTATGCATCAGAAAATTCCTTGCCACTTGGGAGGTAGCATATGTTGTAAAAGTTAGAGTAAGGATTTGTTGTTGCAAGTGTGGCCATGTCCTTTATACAGAAGATAAAGCCCAGCAACTAAATTGCTACTACATATTATGTTTATTTAACCCATTATCTGTTGCCAAATAATCTGATGCCTGTTCCTGCTTCTAGACAGAAAGAATATTGGGATCAGTCATTTTTTCTGAATCTTTGTACATTTTCCTACCATTATGGGACTTTTAAAATTCCATATTTGCCAAATGCCAAATGAACTAAGTTACAGCTGTTGAACATACCAATTCATTGCTAGAAATGAGAAACTACTTGTAAGACCACTGCTGATCTTACCACTGCTGTTAGCTAAAGTATTAATGGAGCATGTTAAAATAACTGCTGTTAGTTTTTTTTTAAATAATGTCTCATTTAATAAAGTTATGCTCCAAACTTTAAAGCAAGTTGGTGAATGCAGCATTAAAGAGTGCTATTCATAATTCAGAATAAAATGTTTGCTTTCTTTATTATTTATGCTGTAATTGTAAACAAAACTGAAGCCAACTGAATGGAACCCACAGGCACCATTTTCAAGTAAAAGATGTTGGACCCAGAGGCAGAATATAGGAGTTTGCTAATACAGCGTTATGTATATACAGCTGTAATTTGTTATAGAATTATATCCATGTAACTTAATTGTGTGATAATTCAAAAATAAAATGACTCAGAGAAATTGAAAAAAGGGTATTTAATAATTAAGAGGAAAAGAATTATCATAAATCCTGCCATAGGAGGATAAGATAAATGATTATGTAAGGATATTCTTTATTGGAATGGATACTGTTTGTACATCTTGGATATTCACAAAGTAGATTTATTTCTCTTGGATGTTTCAACATAAGTAGAGTTAAGTTTCTGTGCCCACAAATTCTAGAAGTTTTCAAGTAAAACAATCTCTATTTCAGAATGTATTGGAAAAGAGGGTTTCCCTAACCTTAAGAAAAACTAATGGTGTTATTTCCTGATATATATAAAACTGAAGAATAGACTTTGCTATCTGAAGGGCAGATGACCTGATAAAATGTACTGCTGATAAAATGTGGCAGAAGATCAAAAATTTAATTGGTCCTGTAAAGTACAAGTAGGGCTACCCTCTCTCTTTTCTGAGCATAGAAGTCAGATCCAGTGGAGATTTCTCATTTATCGGAAATAATGACCCCTTTCCCCTGCAGTCCCTTGTCCGTGTTGCTTGTCTTCCTGTCCAGGTAGCTCTTAAACTGTCCTGAGCAGCTCTTTGAAAAGTACAGGAAACCGCTGTAGGGGAGGAGGAAGACTCCTCAGCAGGCCAAACTTGCCCACTTGGAGCAACAGTCTTTCTCTTGTAATATGATCATAAGCAACTATTATTATTATTACCACCCAAATTCAAACACTGCAATTCCAGACAGCATACAATAAACCAAAACCAACAGCTATCTCCAAGAAAGCATACAGTATTTCTAAACTGGAAGAAATTCTGGTTTTCTGCTTAAAGAACTGAAGGTACTTTAATAACAAAAGCATGTTAATAGGTCATAATAGTGCTTATGAAAGGAGTGTGTGTCTTTATTTTGATTAATATATGTGTGACTTGACAGTGTATATTAAGTTATTCTGCTAATGGATAATGTAATATAAAAGGCTAAGATGCAATTTTGTGCTTTCAAATGTATGTATCTTAAGAGTACAGTCAATATTTGTATGGTGTTGACTGAACAGAACATTTACAGCTGAGCTGTTCTTCCTTGGGTTCCTATATAAGAGCATTCCCCAATCTAGAATTAGCAGCATTTTAGTATTCCCTACCGGAAGAGAGGTTTATATTTGTTGAAATGGGTGGAAATAATATCTGTCCAAACTGGAGATAGTACAAGCTTTTCATGTTTGGAATAAGTATTTGATTATGTTTATAATAATTGAATTGCGTATCTTGACATGCTCCCATCTCTCAATTTGAGATAATCAATCTCCTTGGCTCAAATTACAGTGAAATAAATGCCAAATTACAGCTCTCTCCTGGAGTCCTGCAATCTGCTCCTTTTAATCGGTTGTAGCTCTAAGTTTTAAAAGCTTAAAGCTACACTTCTGAAAATTATGTTCTCTTTCAAGAATATTGGGATATTTAGTACAGTACTATATCCTGATTTCACTTCTTTTTCAGTGATGGCTTATCTCAGGGTAATCATTTATCTTAGACAATTTATATGAAGATACTTGTTTTCAGCCATTGGCTTATTAATCTTTGCTGTTTAAGTTAACTGACCAATTAATGTCAAGATTTCTGTATCATCAAATAATGGTACTACATTAGTTAAAAATGTGCTGGCTGAAATGAGGTAGGAGAGGAACAAATCACTGCTGCCTTCAAGATTCAGGAGATCTGCCAGTGAAACAAAGATAGGTCAATAGAAGAGTCAAACAAGGATGTAACTTGCCCAGAGTGGTGCATAAAGTTAGACCAGGCTGTGAATCGTCCTTGATAATTTTTAACAGCCTCAGTTAAATGGGAAAAAGAAAATACACATTTTCCTATGTACTGTTAAGGGTTTGGAGGCAGCACACATTCTTGACCAGCCTAATGTCAAATTAGATAGGCCTTGATCATTTGGGGCAATTTAGGATTGGTCTGCAAGTGTTTGTCAGGGCTGGCTTAAGACATTTTCCTGTACATGTTGATAGATATGCACACCCGTCCATAGCTCTGCCCTCCATCATGTCAATACGACAGTCAGACCTGGTGTTTGGAATGAAGTATACAGTACTTGCTAGTATATAAGGCAGCATTTTGTTGCAAGAAATTGCTTTGCTTTCCTCATGCAGAAATATAGGAGTCTAACTTGAAAAATAAACAGTATCTATGCTTAGGAGAAGTGAAGCCCAGTTACTCAATAACAGCTATTATTCCAGATGAATATATCTATCTTCAAGCAATTCGAGAGCATGCAGCTATTCCACCATCATTATAGCAAGGATTCATCTGTAATGAAGTTTGTATTTTTAAAATGCTGTCAGAGTTCTTTTATTTCTAACCTATTTTAGGCAACTGGCTTGTTACGTTGTCAGATACCTGCACAGACTGAAAAATAAGTAAAAGTGTTCAACAAGGAATGATTAGCTGTAGACCTAATGGAACATACTGAAAGAGAAAATATCTAAAATCTGCACCAACACTTTAAGCCTGTTGGCAGGATCAATTGGCCAAAATTGGCCAGTTCATTTTGTCAAGTGAAATGGCTGTGGTTGCAAAGGACCTGCCTATGCTACTTCTTTGATATGACAGGAAAAAAATTGGGTTGGTTTTAGACAGGATAATATCATCAGACAATGAATTCCAAATACAGCTCAACCAGGTTTTCCTATATAGTAGATTTGAAATTAATTTCCAGAGGTTGCTGTAACACAGCATTGACACACATTTCTTTTATCCTACATTTTAGAAGACATTTTTAAAGAAAAAATTAAATATGGAGCAAATGTCTGGAATGCAAAAACTTATTATAGGACTTGCAAAGAATTGTAGTCCTCTAATTTTGGATATGTGCTTTTTTATACTTGTTTTGCTACTATTTTAGCGTTGCAGTAAGTAATTATAACTAAGTAGTAAGGGCAGAAAATTAATGCTATAGACATCATAGCAAGTGGTGTCCTATCTGATGTTCAATAATTGTAATACGTCTGGCATGCTTTTGCATTTGTATTTGGTACTGAATATTGTATCAACATGTATGTGCTGAAATATTTTTAGGTATTTGTTTTAAGTAGCTTTAAAGTTAGAAAATATATCTCTGGGAATAATGGTTATTCATAGAAATAATGGGTCAATATTATAACTGGAAAGAGAGATGCTTAGCTGTGATTTCATTCTTTTTTTTTTGTTATGTGTTTCTTCTGTTTATTATTTATAATAAAACATCCTATCAAACTCAACAGCGTCAGATTGTTCCATGTTTGAGTTCCTAACATTCTAAACTGTTGAATGGAAGGGGGAAATCTATCATGTTTAATGATGGCATTACCGTTGAGCATTTAAGTATCGTTCTATATCAGAGATAATATGTAAAGAAAGAAAAAAGGCAAAACGTAATGTTAATTATCTCTTTGTAGAAATGCCTTCTCTAATGTACAGTACACATAAACCCTGCCTCATCTCCTAAATAGAAGGCACAATATATTTTGCCTATATTGAGTATAGCATAGCGTACTTACTTTATGATGCCTTTTATAATTTCCTTGACTATCTATGAATCGAATTTGTTTTTCCCAACATTTCTAGTCTCACTTCAGTTTCTGGCATCTATCCCAAAACATCATGAAAGATTCATCACCCAATGATTTGCTCTCTACACATGTGAAAATCAACCATGAATGCCGTTACTTCAGTTAAATTTGCCAGTGCAAAACTATAGTCTGTCATTCTAATAAATTCAAATAAAATAAATAAATTTCATTCTCAGTCTACATTAAAAGCACATATTGGGTACTGCAGGAGGAGCGGTAAATTAATTCTGAGAAGAAAGATGACATGGATTCATGATTTCAACATAAATATGAATGGATTTATTGATAGTAAAAGGCTGCACATATTCATCATAGAAAGTCCAGGAAGAGAAACTAGCATGAATATTGAACAGTCTGCTTCTTTGCCATAATTTTACTGGCCTTGAGCTTGCATAATCAGGTCCAGTGGGCTGCTAGATACTGTTACTTCAAATTTACATGCATATTTCACAATTACATGAAAGCTAAAAGTAGGAGAGAACTCACCATAAAACCAGCTATAAAGCCTGTGTAAATAAAGTTCATTAAATAACTTTATGATCTAAGTTACATACATAGTTTATCATTGCTACTTGTAATAATTTGCCATGCAACATCATGCGGTCTTTGGAAAGATAATTTTGTACATACTCGGACTTTAAGTCACAACTCAATCCTATAACTCTTTTGAATAACAATAGTTAAGTATATCAACTACTGACAGCATTCCTTCTGCTCACTGCTAGATAGCCATCATGTACAGTAATGTCATAGAATGCTTCTGTAGCATTTGAAGTCAAAACTCAGTGGGATCCAAAATGGCATTAATGCCTCCAGTATTCCTTTTTCATAGAGTATGTATAAAGATTATTTATTACATTCCTTTTTTTTTTCCATTATGGAACTGAAAGTGGTGCTCAGATATCTACCCTGCAGACATTAACTACAAATCTGCTAAGTTAATCAAGGAGGTGCATCATATAACCTCAGACCATGACATGGGACTTAAAATCATGTCTTTCAGCATGATTCTTATTTAAAATTTTGGAAATTCCTCATACTGTATGACTATTACTAAAGTTTGCTTTAAATATTAATCTATTTCATATAAAGTGTCAGAAGGCGGTAGAAAGTTATATTCTCTAGGAAACAATTTTTAAAATTTTCATCCTCTAAATCTGACTGTATTGGATTCATGAATTAAGTCTGTATCTTCTCAGGTACAGGCATTTCCCTAGCTCTAACAGCTAGAGGGCACCTACACACCACAAATGGTGTTTTGAAAATGGATTATTTTCAGAAGGGGTTATAGAAGTGCCAAAAGAAAATAAGCAAATTTCAGGCTGCATAAATTAGCATTTTTATGAATTAGCTCTTTTGGGCTGTCTTCGCAGCAGAAGATGAAGAGCGGATATCTGTCTAAATTCATATTTTCACAATTGGTGTGTAGGTCAGAAATCCTATAGTCCCTAAATTCCTAGCAACTACAGGATTCACAGGATTTGTCCTTTGAAGATCTGAAAGTGACCCTTCCCTCACTCACATGTCTTCAGATACAGTTCTTCTCTTCTTATTTTCTTCTCTTTAGCAGGGCCCTACTTCTCTATGGCACTTCTCTTCCATCCATTCAAGATAAACTGGGGTGTGTAGATCTCCTTGGTGAGATCATCTCAGTATGTTGCCAGAGCTGGAGAAACTCTCCAGTGAGGAAATGCTACCATGTCTATGTCTGTCTTAATTCAGAAAAAAAAAAAGGACACACTAAAAGTGATAGAGATGTACATTATATGGAAAAAGTGGCTAGGGAGACATCCAGTGAAGAAATACAGAAAAAGGGAAATGTAATTACAGTTAAACTACGACATTTGTTATGATATAAGCATGGCCAATTGATGGATTTAAAAGGATATTAGCCCAAGTCATGGGGGGATCACCTATCATCTTCCATCACTTTTTGTGTGAAGGCTTCCTATTGGCAGGCGGCTGGCCACTATAGGAACAGAAAGGATTAGATAGGCCTGTGGTTGGATCCAGCAAGGTTTATAAGTTTGTAATTTCTGACATGTCAAAACTAGTAAAAAAACCAGCTAAGGTACTAAAAATAAAAATGCTTATACCAGTGGAACTATTGATCTTTCAGACCTCATCTCATCAATATTCTGTAATTAATATTTAGTAATTAAAATAAGCTCCAGCTATTCTGTATCATACACTTGTTTCTCAGATTTCACGTGTTGTAAGAACATACAAGCAGAGCTGTATGAAGATGGTACAGTATTAGTTTCGCTGTTTGTGACAGAGAACCACACAGGTGAAATGTACATGGTTCATATCTCTTATTAAGCATTAGCAGCATGAGTAATGCTTGTGCTTAGAATTATGGAAGTTGAAAACCAATACATCTTGAAGGCACCAGTTTAGGAAAAACAGAATATATGATTCTTTTTAAATTTTGATCTGCTACTTGTACAGGAAAAGACTGTTTATGAAGAAGAGTTTCAAAAGAATAAAATTAAAATATGGCATTACTTAAATTACTGTTAACACAATCTATATTATTCTTTAAGTCATCTTGACCAGCCTGTACATTTTTGTTTCTCATTAACACATTTTGCCATGTTTTTATAAAAAGTAAATATATAAAGAAGGCATACTTTCTCCAACTAGTTGGTTCTTCAAGAATGTGGATAATTCTAACATAACAATATTAAGGCCACAAACCATTAATAGCAAAGTGTGATAGAAAAAAAAATCTGTCTGAAATCCAACTTCATAAATGATTGTATCGATTCTCAAATTTATGTACCACATGAAAAGCCTCCAGAAATTCATTGAAGTCAATGCTACCATCTTTGTTAAAATCCATGGTGCGGGCTAAACTGTCAATGGATTCATCACTCACATCATTCTTCAGATGCACATTAAAGAGTTTCCATGTCTGACGGAACTCGTCAACAGAAATAAGGCCTAAACGAAGGGAAAACTGGTGTTACAAGTGGCATTGCAAATACTCATAAGGATACTATATATGTTAGTTCTATATAATTGGGGAGTCTGAAGAAAACAGTATAGAACTTCAAGCTACATCAGTCATACAGGTTACTGATCTACACCTGGTGTGATTTCAAATGCTGGTTATAAACTTTAAAACTAAACAGCATGAGACCTTCCTACCTAAGGCAGGCTACATTCGTATGAATCTGTATAGTCCATGTAAACTCCTAGAATCTCTCCCTCTTCTTTCTGAAATGAAGTATGTAATAAAATGGGAAAGCTGTGGTTTTCGGGGGGGGGGAGGATTGTGTGTGTAATCATAGCATGGAATAATTCTTCATCCTAGAAAACATGGCTTAGTTTGATTTTTGCAATTTATTGAAAAGTATATTTTTTCTCTTATTTTTATTGGATTTTAAGGGTTTACTGGTCTAATTAAGGGTTCCGATTCATGGGTTTGGGTAGTAGCCTCCAAGACTGGATGGGTACAGAAAATTGGTGTGACAGTCCAAAGATTCCATAGCTGATGTAGCTAAAATCAGAGAGGGTCCAGGCTGTGAAGACCCAGTTATGCTACATCTGTGCAGAATGGACTCTACAACACACTAACATGGCCTCTGTTGGCACTGTTTGTTGTTATTCTATTTTTTTTTAAATTCCTTGTCGTTCCTGACCACCCAATAACTTATTTTCTGAATGATGTGTTAATTAGTAGCACAATAAACAAGATAGCAATCATCAATCAAGGAAATTGCTACAAGTGCAAGATATGGAGGCAAGACTATGTAAGACACAGGTTTTTTGTTTTGCATCAATACCAAAGGCCATTGTTTAAGATTGTTTGTGCATAATGGTTCATACTGTTGAAACCAAATCACTTTGTGGATCCAACTTGTAGAGAGGGAAGGGAGAAATGGAGGTATTTAGCAGGAAGATACTAACCTGTCAGTGTAACAAGAGCTTCTATCTAGAGTGTAGCATCAAAGGGCAAGAGAGATTACTCTTTTTGGAAGAATTAAGTGACTAGAAATTTTGTTTACCTTCTTTTATCTATTTGTAGCTATTATGTATTGTGGTTTAGCTTCAGTCACTAAGTGAAAACAAACAACTGCTGCACATATCCCTCAGATCAATATTTGGGTGCTTTTAACTTAAAAAAGAAGCTGACTTAAAGTATTTACGATAACTTAATAAATACAAGCTCCTCATCCCTTACTTCATCCTACTCTGATATCTGTAGCTCTCTTCCCTCAGCGTAGACCTGCTACTTTGGCATTGTTTTTGGAAAACTAAAATGTTAACATACCAGAATGATCTTGGTCAATCATATTAAAGATAATCTCCAAATCAGCTTTGTATCTACACAGAGTTTCCACCAAAGATGGCTGAACCTAAAAGATATTTATATATATATATACATATTAGACATTGTAACATACCCCATCTGTGCTTGAAATTATTAGTTTTATATCTTTTTAAAAACTTTCTAAAATTCAATTTATTCCATGACTTAATTGGAGATCCAACATCCAGATTCTAAATTCTAAAGGATTTTAATTTAAATTTTAATTTAAAGGAAGATATGCATTATCCTAAGAGTGCTTCCAGATTAAGCTTTTATTGTGGAATCACTCCAGATATTTGTCCACTTGTAACTCTGCCACTTTTTTTTATCCTTTTTATTTCCAGAGAAAATTTTCTAATGAAGAAACAATCGGATGCTATTGATTGGTGGTGCTATTAATTATTTTCCCACATGTACACTAAGAATCACATTGTACAATTGTTATTTTCTAAGTCTAAGTAGAATTAATGGGATGCTAAGTAGAATTCATAGTATTATACAAATCATCTTAACAATGCTGTCAGTTCAGCCATTTCCTACATTGAGGTGCACAATCTGAAGCCCCAAGACTGAGGAACATAATTGTGTCCTCTAAAGCCCTTCCATATTGGCACCAAATATAATTTTTATAATTTCTAAAGGAGCAGGAGAAAAAACTTATTAAACATATGGAGACTGAAAGAATTTGCCTGTCATTCAATGGTCTGAAGAACTCAACTTTTTTCCTGTTCTGTACCCGAACAAGCATTATATACTCTCAGGAGTCCCAACTGAAGGACTATTTAAAAATTTGGACTACATATATTAATATATCGCTACCTTTTGCTATTAAGTACACTGATTTAAATGCTAATCATTTCACGTTTAATGCTGCAACCTAAAATGAAAGACTAGTTTTTATCAGTATGAGAAGTATATGTTTTTGAGTTCTTTTTCCCTCTTTTTTCTTGCATATGCATGCGCATAACCATAGATGGTATGATCACAGTAACTATATTTAATAACTTCCATTTTAATTATATTCAAACTTAATTAAATAAAAACATCTCTTTTTTTCTTCTGTCTCTGGACGCTATTTTGTCCTGTCCTGCCTCTCTGGGGAAAGTCTGGCCTGTTGCTCAAAATAAAGTTCAGACCTTGGTCTGAAAAAAAATTTGATCATCTTGTTCCAAATCACCTCACCTCTTTGATGGGTAGTTTGATTTCTAAATTGTCAAAAGATGAAAGATATTCCACATTTCCATCGGGAGCCAGGCAAACTAATCGCGAACGGAGAGTTCTCCAGGGTAGGTCAAGATGCAGAACAGATTCCATGGCAGAAGCCCACTGACTAAGGGAAATCCTTCCTGTTAAAAAATGAAAATGAAAACTATTTTATGTTTTAAAGGAAGCTCCCCATCAGGGGATGTGATGTGAACACCCCCCCATCCATTTCAATTGAAATATCATTGCAAGAGGTTGTGACATTAAGATTTCAATAAATTGAATTACAGTCTTACTTTTTTATAAAATTGATGAAGCGTAGTGGCTAGCTTCTAAAGACTGGTCCACCAGACACATCCCCCGCCCCACATTCCACCCAGCTTCACTAGAGCTTATGAAGTACAGTATGTAGAGTAGGGAATAGAGCAGGATGGCCAACCTGCAGGTGGTAGGCAGCCAAGTATCCCATTTGTACCACATCTCATCACACCACTGAAATTTGGTGGGGAAATAGTTACATTTCAGCACTGAGTTTTGTTTTACCTTTTTTTTTTTTTTTTTTTTTTTTTTTTTCCATTCCAGAATGAAACATCAGAAATCCCTCAAATGGTGCCAAATGAAAAGAGTGCCGATTGCAGCTTGTGTGTGTGTGTGTGTGTGTGTGTGTGTTTGGGAGGCCTTAGAGAGGAAATGGAACATTAAAGTCTATCAGAGACAAGCCTATTTCCATCCTTAAAAATCATCCCTCCTTGGAAAAAAAGTGGCTGGTTTCTGAGTTGGGGGGATTTCAGCTGGGAATGGGGATTGGAATAGTTTGCCTTTCAGAGACTTCCCTCTCCCATTCCCACCCTTAACTATTCCTGGGGGAAAAAGGCAAAAACCTGCCTCCTCAAATGTTGCCCATCCCTGGCATACAGGCAGAAGGAAAATGAGAAACTTTGGTAATATAAGCTCACAATAACTCCTCTTAGAATCACAGCTCATCTTTAGCTTATTGTCTCTGTTCCATCCTATATGTGGTCATGCCCTCCAACCTCTCCTTGAGAAGCTTTGGAGGCTACTGAAGAAAGGGGAAAGAGAACCTTTCCAGGCATGGATTTCTAAAGCAACCTTGCCATAGGCAAAGTTTTAATGTCTTCTGCTTCTAAAATGTGAGCCTGGGAATAACAACAGGATCCATTCCATCCTATGTATTCTAATTGTAAATAATTTGTACTTGAAGGAATTCTATATATTGAGGATAACAGATGGAACCATGTCAGGAGAACAGCACTTTAAAAAATAAAATCACAGATATGTATTGTAATAATCTGAAGCATTATTGAAAAACATAACATTTTATATACCATTGTCTTCCTATTTCTTTGGACACGGGACTGTGAAACATGCAGAGAGCTCTGCTACCTGCAAATACTGCCCTTTTTCTTGTGCACAGATTAGTGGTTTGTACACCTAGGAGTTCATTAGTAAGTCCTTCATGTCCACATAATTAGACTTTGCAAATAATCACTCAACCAGTGGACAATCTATATTTATGATGCCATCTGCATGCTTCCCTAATTATCCAATGCTGACACATGTTCTAGGATTCTATGAGATACTAATGCAGCAGTAGCAACCTTGGTTTAAAACCTGGGCAAGGCCCATGTCTGAAAAAAACTTAGCTGAAGGTAGTGTTGCACCAAAATTGGAGCATAGAAACAGAGCCTGGTTAGCTCAATAGAAGTATGGAAGATATAAGTCCCTCCCGCAAATACATATTGGCAATATCATGCTTCCAGAATGCCTCTTCCGCCTGCACTGTCAACATTCCTTATCTTTGGAAGAATTAGACTTCAACTACATCTGTTAACTATCAGTGTTTTTTCCTACGTGGTAATTGGGAGTTTTGTATATGAAGCAACAGTCATATGTGTAATCCTCTAATTGCAGTCTCAAGAGGGCTGCAGCATATGCTTTTTTTTTCTATCCATACAAAGATCATGAATTTATCTTTGATCCTACCCCCCCCCCCCCCCAAACTCAACAATATTGGCCCTGTCACAAAGCAGGATGAAGCAACTTTCTTCTGGTAGTACCATGCCAAGAGCAGGATTTAAAATGTCAGGATGGCAGCCCCATTCCTTTTTTTTTTTTTTTTTGTCATGCATTATGTGTTAAAAATGGGCAGCTTCAATTCTGCAGTCATAGGCACCATCTTGATTCTTTTTACTCACTGCCAATGAAGCCCCTGGCCAGGAATGTGAAAAAGGGGGAATGTAAACTGGTATCTGATTGGTACAGTAAGATCTTTCTCCTTAGTGGGAGAAATATCATTAATAAAAGTATGCTCCATACTTCTGAGCTATTAAGGATCTTGAACTTACCTGGAGTTCAGTTTCTAGGATTTCAGACCATTCTTACTCTATGATATAAGTCAACCTCCAAAATTTGGACATAAGATGGGAGGAGATGCCTATATTTCCCATAATTTTCTAGTGGAAGCTATTATTCAGGGGCACTCCCAATCACTTAGTGCCCACCAGGCTTCCTGACCCCTTTTAAAAAAAGAAAGCAGGCATGCTCTAAAGCAAAGCGCCAGACTCTAAAATCCTAGTTATTTGCAGCAATGCCTTGGAGTCCCAGAAATATCTTGCTGGGATGGGCAAGAGCTTTCTGGAGGATTATTTCAGTGTCTTGTAAATGACTGTTTGGGACTGGATGTGTGTCACCCCTACAAGGTAGACCAGACTAAGAAACCAATGTCATGTAAATCAGTACTACTTTTACTGTAACAGGATCTTGCAAGTTTGAATGTGCTTTCTGCTCCCTCCGTTTATCTTCATGTGAACTAGAGAGAGGCTTGTCTGAGACATTTCCTCAATTTTCTTGGCCCAGGCTCAGGCCCCTCTTATCTGACTTGCCTTAGTAGTGGTTCTTCCTCCTGTCCTTCAAGGCCATTCCCTCTGTATTCTCTCTACAACACGCCACATGATAGTCAGCTTTTGATCAGGTAAGTCTCCCACAACAGTTGTTTTGTGAGTATACCCACTAAATGCTCTGGAAATTCCAAATGTGACCTTGGCCCCAAAGTATTGCCTAGTTCTTTTGAAGGACAGTCTCTACTGCCTTTTGAAATCCGGCGTTAACCATCCTACCTCTCATCTGACTGTATCATCAGATCGGTACTAGAACTACAGGGTTGGAAATAACCATTGAGGCTATTAGTTCCAATCCGCTGCTCAGGAATCCAAATTAAAGCTCCCCAAACAGACACGTCTCTCTCTAGTCCTCTCTTGAACACATTCAATGAAGGCGAGACCACCCATAAACTACATCTTTACTCAATGCAGCTCATTTATTAATGATTTCCAAGGAATTGGTTTCATGCTATTGAATTGCTCTTACTGTTAGGGATTTTTTTCTAATATTCAATTGAAATCTGACTTCCTGTAACTTAAATCTATTATTTCATATTCTGCACTCTGGAACAAGAGAGAACAGATCTTAAACTTCTCTTTGACAATATTCCAGGTGTTTGAAGACCACCATTATATTCAGTCATCCTTTTTCAAGACTAAACATATCCTTCAATCCCTTTTCATAGGACTTAGTTTTCAGTCCCCTGATCATCCTTGTCATCATTCTTTGCACGTGTTCCAATTTCTATGGATCCCTCTTAAAGGGTGATGCCCAGAATTGGACACAATACTCATGGTGGGGATCTGACAAAAGCAGGATAAAGTGGAACAATTACTTCCCATGATTTGGAAAGTATACATGTGTTAATACAGCCAATGACCTACTAGGTTTTGCTGCTAGGCGTTAGCTGTACTCTGATGGTCTGAAAACATTGCCATTGGAATTCTTAAAAAACAAGAATTACAGAGTTGGAGCGGATTGCATGAGTCATTTTGATCAGCCTCCAAACCTATACGCTATTTTGGGCCAGCAGCGTCCATTATTCTAAATAATTAGATATCACCCATAAATTACATCTTTACTCAATGCAGCTCATTTATGAATGATTCATAGTAGCATCTGTCCCATACAAATCTAGATTCTATTGCTTCTGTTCCTCTATTATACAATTTGCTATTTTTACTGCTACTCTTCACATTGTCTTCCTGTCACTTGCAAAATACAAAATTACTTGTACATACAGTAAAACACAAAACAAACAAACAAAAAAAGAAACGCTGTTTCAAATCGTGTTACCTGTGTAAATTGGATCATACTGGGTAAAAGCTGCAATGAGGTCTGATTTGTGGGTATAAAGTTTCTCTCGCAAACACTTTAAAGCAGAAAGCTCTATTGCAGTCACTCTAGAAAGAAAATCATTAAACTGGGCAATTAGAACAACAAAATCTCTTTTAAGATCCATTTCAGAGCGCAGAATTTTAGGAGTTCTGAAATTCCCAAATGCAGCACAATAATAAAATTTAAATTTAATGATAAACCTGATTGATGCTGCCCATCCAGTTAGAAAATCTGAAAAAGCTAAACTTGCATTTAGGAAAACAACTGCACGAGTGGCAATATAACCTCAACAGTCCTTGTAGTCACAGTTTTATACCACCAATTTAGATTTATCTTTCGTTAGGTTATAAACTTTTAAAAAAGGGTGAAAAGTGAGAAAAACTAAGCAACGTGGCTAATCAGGAAAGTATGTACTCATGGTGGGGGTCTGACAAACGCAGAATAAAGTAGAACATTTCCAAACATGCAGTACAACCATAATAAAGATGGATGGATGGATGGATGGATGGATGGATGGATGGATGGATGGATGGATGGA